CTGAAGGCCTTTTCTGCAGCTAGGAGCTCCAGGATTGAGTGGGCAGTTGAGGGGCCTCTGACAGCTGAGCACCCTAGTGTTCCACATTCACATCATATATGTGATCATGGTCTTGGAGAGAGAGATAGGTCTCAAAGAAAATATCCATGATTAGTTTTCTTCTGGGGCCTCTGGTTGTTGTTGAAATGTGGGAAACTGGTTCCTGGGAGATTTGTCTGGAAGGAGCTTGTAGAGGGTTGCTTACATTGGGAGATGGGGCCTCATTATCTCCTCAGAGAGCAGTTGTCATCCTCACCTCAGCCCTTTCCCAAACCCTAGAAGTGAGGGGTTAGACAAGACCCTAGATACAGGGCTTGATACCTGGTGGTTTGCCCGCCAGGCCTTGCCTGTGGCCATCTGTTGAATAGAGGAGGTCTGGGGTTTTCCCTACTATCCTCCCACTTAGGACGTCACTTCGAGTTGGGAGACAGGTTTCCTAGTACCTCTGGTGTCAAAAGGCTGCCTTGGGGTTGTGCCAATTAATTACCAAACATTGAGCCTGTGGCTGTAAGTGGGAGTGTTACCCTGTGAGCCTTACCGCAGCCAGTTACCTTTCTTGACAATAGGAGCTGCTTCCCTCCCCTTCCTTTTCCTCTCCACCTCCCTCCTTTCCCGTCCTTCATCCACTGCTTTCCCATTCTTCTTTCTAGGTGGCAGGGGAGCTTGCCTCCCTGCTCAAGGACACTCCCTATTGGGCATAGGCTGTGCCTACAAAAAGTTCCCTGAGCCTGTAAGCACTCCAGGTGGGGAAGTGGACAGGAGCCATTGGCCATAACCAGACAGAATTTGGAGGTTTCGTAAGCTCCACTGAGAGCTTTGAAAAAATATGTGTAGCATGGTTTTTTTTTTAGAAGAGACTAAAGATGATTTGAATAGGATTTGAGTCGTTCACCAAGCAGAGAATCATAACCAGGACAACCCCTGGCCCATTCCTAGGACATGGTTACTTTCTTTTCCCTTTGTCAAGACATAGGAAGATGTCATTTCTAAACGGTCAGTGTCCAGTTGAAGGCAGAACACTAATCAGATTTCAAGGCCCAAAACTTGGGGACTAGACCACATGTGTTGAGGACCTCTGCTACCTGTGTGGATGAAGCAGACGACACTACTGCCCTGACCACATCTTAGGATGTGGTCAAACAGTACCAGATGTTTCTTTCTTCCCCTAAGACAGTGTCTTGAACCTGTTAAATTAAGTCATTGGATTTTACTCTGTTCTGTTTACAGTTTACTATTTAAGGTTTTATAAATGTAAATATATTTTGTATATTTTTCTATGAGAAGCACTTCATAGGGAGAAGCACTTACGACAAGGCTATTTTTTAAACCACGGTATTATCCTAATTTAAAAGAAGATCGGTTTTTAATAATTTTTTATTTTCATAGGATGAAGTCAGAGAAAATATTCAACTGTCCACACAAGTCTGGTTTTTTTCTTGCCCAACTTCCCCCTGGAAGGTGGACTTTTTGTTGTTTCATGTGGAGCTCATTTGTGCCCTGTTGACATACATGTTCCCTGGGTCTGCTCTTTATCATCATGAAGAAGGAAGGCGTGGGCTCCATTAGGCCACTTTCCTCCTTTGCCATGAAAGCTCCTCAGAAGCCCCAGTAGTACCTTGACACCCCAGTTTCTTCTCATTCCTGCCCTGCCTCTCCCTCTGGCACTATGTCCAGAGTGGTGAACAGCAGCACTCTCCATCTTCCTCACTTTCCTCTTCTAGAATTAGCAACCAACAAGTTGAATGACAACTTGACATTTCCCATCACCATCAGCCTCATAGGTCATCTCCTTCCCTTACTCTCTGCCCACCAAGTCCTTATACCTGCAAAGAACCCACTGACCACCTCGTGCCCTCTTTGGGGGCATCCTGTTGAAACTGAAGCACAGTCTGACCACTTACGATCAAGCAGGTCTTCTCTGCACCTGCCACAAGGTTCCAGAGTAGTGTAGTCCAAGTAGAGGGTGGGGCACCCTTTTCTCGCCACAAGAAGCCCATTCCTATGGAAGTCTGCCAAGCAATACGACGCAGCCCAGCACTCTCTGCCCCAGGACTCATGGCTCTGCTGTGCCTTCCATCCTGGGCTCCCTTTTCTTCTGTGACCTTAAGAACTTTGGTGGCTTTGCTGGAACATTGTCACTGTTTCCACTGTCATGTGGGGAGCCCAGCACTGTGGCCAGGATGGCAGAGACTTCCTTGTCATCGTGGAGAAGTGCCAGCAGGGGACTGGGGAAAAGCACTCTACCCAGACCTCACCTCCCATCCTCCTTTTGCCCATGAACAAGATGCAGTGGCCCGTGGGGATCCACTAGTGTCTGGTTTCCTTTCTTATTGCACTGTGTGAGGTGTTTTTGTAAATCCTTGTATTCCTATTTTTTTTAATGAAAAAAAAAAACTTAAGCTGCATTTGTTACTGAAATGATTAATGCACTGATGGGTCATGAGTTCACCTTGAGAGAGACCCAAAGGCCAGTCAGAGGGTGGGGGAAACTCAGCTAACAGACCTAGTTACTGCCCTGCTAGGCCATGCTGTACTGTGAGCCCCCTCCTCATCCTCTTTCTACAACCCCAAACCCTGAGGACAGGGGAGGAACCCACCTTTCCTTCTCCTGCCAGCTGCAGATGGTTTGCCTTGCCTTCCCACCCCAACTGTCAACCATAGAAACGAGAACTCTTTCAGCTCAGCCTTGAGTCCATTGCCAAAATTCAGCGTACCTGCCAGCAACTTGGGGGGATAAGCCAGGATTTCCTCATGAGAGGGAAAGAAGAAGGAAAGAAAAAGGCACAGCTGTCTCCAAAACGTGTCTGACTTTGTTTTGAAAGTGACCAAGAGAACTTCTGCACAAAAGTGCAGGTTGGGGAATTGCGGTGGTCATTCCCAAGAGTCCCCCAAGGGGCATTCCACATCCCAAGGAGTGACAGCTGCGAACCTTGTCAGTTCTCAGAGCCAGCTCACCGCTTTGCTGCTAGAACCTGTTGTAGCTGCATTTCCTGGTGGCCAGTGACAACTGTGTGACCAGAAGAGCTGCATGGCGCTAACCCTTTGGCCGGAACTTGGTCCCCGGGCTCCCTCTGTTGCTGCCCACCATGTCTAGCACAACCCTTCTCCTGTTTTTAGACCAGTAACAAGAGGGAAGTCTTGGCAGCTCTTAAGTTTTCAACCCAAACTCCTTTGCCAGGACCCAGGTCACCTCTGTCCACCCCCGGCCAATCCAGTGAGCACCATGCAGCAACCTTGATTAAAAAAATGAAAAAAATAAACTTAAAAAAAAAATACAACACACACAAAAACAAAAAAAATCTTTTAATGAATGTATCTTTCTAAAGGACTGACGTTCAATCAAATATCTGAAAATACTAAAGGTCAGAACCTATCAGATGTTAACTTTTAGGTTTGATTTGGTTATTTTTTCATAGATACCAAGCTGTTTTTGTTCTTAAGGAAAAGCGGGTCATTGCAAAGGGCTGGGTGTAATTTTATGTTTCATTTCCTTCATTTTAAAGCAATACAAAGTTATTGAGCAGATAGTTTTGTGCTGAATCATGAATAACAGTCAAGTCTCACACTCTGAAAACTTGCAACATTTTTTGTTTGTTTTGGTTTTCAAATGAATATAAATATGATATATATAGGAACTAATATAGTAACGCACCGTTGTAACAAAGCCTAGTTCAGTCCATGGCTTTTGATTCTCTTAACACTATAGATAAGGATTGTGTTACAGTTGCTAGTCAAAGCAGGAAAATGTCAGGCTCATGTGCCTCTGAAAGGAATGGTGGACAGGCCTGTCCTGAGTCAGAGTGCAGTGCAGAAATGGCGTCACCTGGATTCTTCCTGCCCCCGAATGTTGCCAGTCAGTACCTGTACGCCTCGTTTCTCTGCTTTCAGTTATGAATGTTGGGGTTACCACCTGCATTTAGGGGAAAACTGTGTTCTGTGCTTTCTGGTATCTTGTTCTGAGGTACTCTAGTTCTGTCTTTCAACCAAGAAAATAGATTCGTGGTGTTTCTTTTATTGAACTTTTAACAGTCTCCTTAGTAAATACAGGTAGTGGAATAATTGTTTCAAGAGCTCAACAGATGACAAGCTTCTTCTCTAGAAATAAGACATTTCTCAACAACTATATCATGTATAACAAATCTTTGGAGTTTTTTGTTTTGTTTTGTTTTCTTTTTTTTTTTCCTTGTGTTCTTCCAAGCTTCTGGTTAAAGAAAAAGTGGAAAAAAAAAAAAAGGAAAATGTCTAAAGTCCATCAGTGTTAACTCCCTGTGACAGGGATGAAGGAAAATACTTTAATAGTTCAAAAAATAATAATGCTGAAAGCTCTCTACGAAAGACTGAATGTAAAAGTAAAAAGTGTACATAGTTGTAAAAAAAAAAAAAGGAGTTTTTAAACATGTTTATTTTCTATGCACTTTTTTTTATTTAAGTGATAGTTTAATTAATAAACATGTCAAGTTTATTGCTGCACATGGTTGAGCTTCCTTTTGGCCTTGGCAGGGGTGGAGGGAATGGTGGGGGTAGACCCTGTGAGCTGGTTACAGAGTACCTTCCACAGTTCCTCCTTTAAGATGGAATCACTTGCCGGCCTCATGTTCCCACAGTACACTGGCAATCTTGTCAGAATTTTCCTTTTTCTCTGAGCTCACAGATTCTGGATAAGACTAGTTCGTTACCTTCTACCTATCCCTTCTCACCAGAGGAGGTCAAGTAATAGTTTCTAAACAGACCACAATAAAATGAAAGCTTTTTGGCACCTTCTCTGCCCCATTCCACCTTAAGGCTGAAAGTGGACTTGTTTATTTAACTGTGTCCTGGTGTGGATTCAGTTGAGAAATACTGTAAAACCACTAAACCAGGGTCACTAACCCAGGCCAAGAGGGCTGATCTGACAATAGAACCAAGGAATGGTAGGCACCCAGCCTGAGGGGGCGGTCCGCAAACAGAACCACCTCTTTCACAGTAACTGCCTCCTGGAGGCTCACTGTCTCATCATCTTTATATCCCGTCACCTTTTCGGACTTCTGAGCTGAGCACCATGGGGACTCCAAATGATCAGGCGGTGTTGCAGGCCATCTTTAACCCTGATACTCCATTTGGAGATGTTGTTGGGTTGGACATGGGAGAGGAAGCAGAGCAGGAAGGAGATGAAGGTGAGCTTTGACTTTGGAGTATAGCTCTCTACAGGGTGGTCCACTGGCCGGCCCCTGGGGGTAGCAGTGGGAGGTGGAGTGACAGGACCTCTTGTTCCACCCTCCTAGATTATGACTAAGATTAGAATCAGGTCATCTGATCTTCAGTGCACAGGTCAGGGTTTGGCTGGAATCATTCTGCCAAGAGAAGGCCAGAGTTTGTTTCTTGGTACATCAGCCTTGCACTGTTTGAAACTTCCACTAAAATCTTACCATGATCCAAGATTGTTTGGGTGTTGAGTGTTGTTAAATGCTTACATTTTTGTCATAAGGGATGCCACATCCCACAGGGATGGGTAGACAAGCAGGTCAGGGGATAGGGGCTCAGTTGAGCAGTCCTGACGTCAGGCAAAACTTTATTTATTAAGCAACATTAGAAGCCAGACAGAGCTAGCTTTTCAGCAGAGGGAGCGCACATACCACCAGCCACTAGTGAAGTTGGAGCCTTTAAGGCTTCCTCAGGAGTGAAGCCTAGGCTTTACTGAAACTTTGGGCTGAAAATTCCAAGTGTTCTTCACAACCTGGGACTGTCATGGTGACCTTTGTGTCAGAGACAGTATGTAAAGCAAAAGGAAGACAAGCAAGAGCCACAAGGGTTCAAATTCGAGTTTAATCCCTGATCAAGCATTCTGGAAGCAGAAGCAGGCAGATCCCTGAGTTCAAGGCCAGCCTGGTCTACATAGTTCCAGGCCAGCCAGGGACCCTGTCACAAAAAAAAAAAAAAACATAAAAAACCCAAATCTAGCCAGGCATGGTGGCACACGGCTTTAGACCCAGCACTCCAGAGGCAGAGGCAAGCTGATGGATCTCTGTGAGTTCAAGGCCAGCCTGGTCTACAGAGTGAGTTCCAGGCCAGCTGGCGCTACAGGGAGATCCTGTCTCAAAAAGACCACAAAAAAAATAAATAAATAAATAAAAATAAAAAAAATAAAAATCTAAGCTCTGCAACCTGGGACTGTGTGGCCTTGAGCAAGTTACTGATTGATGCTAAGGAAGTTGAACCCTTGGCCATTGGAGGTGGGAGGGGCAGAACAGTCATCCAACATTCCTTTCTCAAGTCTCTAGGCCAGTGCTAGCTCCCAAGTTTAGTGATCTCAGCTTCTACCCCAAATTCTGCAACTTACCCCTGTTGTCACCCATACCCAGCCAAATCTGCCTTGGGTTTCATGATTCCGAAGCCCAAAGTGGCTTTTCTTGCTCCCTACTGTACACATGTCCCTACCTCATTTCTTCCCTGGTGCAGATGGAGTGTTCCCTCAAGCACAGCTGGAGCAGTCCAAGGCCCTGGAGTTGCAGGGGGTGAGGGCAGCAGAAGCTGGGGACCTCCACACAGCCCTGGAAAGGTTTGGCCAAGCCATCTGCCTGTTGCCAGAGAGAGCCTCAGCCTACAACAACCGGGCCCAGGCCCAGCGGCTCCAGGGGGATGTAGCAGGTGAGGAGACACTCCAGAGACTCCACAAAAGAGGCCCCTGAAGGGCAAAGATGAGTTGACTATGCGGTGAGAACATGGGGGTAGTCACTAAACTCCCTGGAGCCTATGTTCTTACCTACAAAGCCCAGAATGGCGTAAAGAATCCTGGGGGCCTCATGGGACTATTACGAAAACCAAGAGACTGCATTCTGTCCATTAATTTAATAAGATCTTACTAGGCAGCAGTAGGCTAGAAGCAGAGGCCATAAGGACCAAAGAGACAGTATTTACAATAGTATTTATATAGCAATTATTGTGGATGAGGCATTGAGCACTTTATAACTAGACTGTAGTAACTCAATCCTCAAGATCACCCTAAAAGGTATATACTATCATTTCATTGGAGATGAAGAAACTGAAGCAAACTGAAGTAGCTTGCCCACTATCCTCCAGCTAAGAAGTGGCTGAGCTGGGCTCTTAATCAGGTGCTGGGCTCTTAATCACATGATACTGCTCCTCAGGGAATTCAAAATTAGGATAACAGGGGCTGGAGAGATGGCTCAGTAGTTAAGAGCACTGACTGCTCTTGCAGAGGACCCAGGTTCAATTCCCAGCACCCACATGACAGCTAACAACCATCCTTAACTCCAGTTCCAGGGGAAACCGACACCCTATCCTGACTTCCGTGGGCATTGCACGACATGGGTACACTTACATACATGCAGGCAATACACTCATACACATAAAATTAAAAATAATACATAAAATATATTTTTAAAAATTAGGATAACAGCCGGGCGCAGTGACGCACACCTTTAATCCCAGCACTTGGGAGGCAAAGGCAGACGGATCTCTGTGAGTTCAAGGCCAGCCTGGTCTACATTGTAAGTTCCAGGACAGCTGGGGTTACAGGGAGACCCTGTCTCAAAAAGACCAGAAAGAAAAAAATTAGGATAACAGCCGGCGTGGTGGCACATGCCTTTAGTCCCAGCACTTGGGAGGCAGAGGCAAGAGGATCTTTGTGAGTTCAAGGCCAGCCTGGTCTACATAGTAAGTTCAGGTCATCTGGGACTACAGGGAGACCCTGTCTCAAAAAATCAAAAAAAATTAGGATAACAGCAAGCAAGTTTGAGAGAGGGCAGTATGGGACCTGCTCCTAAAGGACCAGTTCTGAAGGACGAGAAGTTGGTTGGTACAGTCTATAGGGGGCTGGAAGGCATGCATAGGCCCAGGGAACTTCAGATCTCCAGGGTGGCTGGAGCAGGCCGCATGGAAGGCTTAAGAGCTGAGCCTTACAGAGGTGAGCAGGGACCAGAGTTTGACAAACCAGGAGTATCAGGCTAAGGGAGGAGGGTGTCACTCAAGGGTTTAGCCAAGGCAGGGGAGGTGACTGGATCCAACCTAATACATTCAGGTAACTGTGGCTGGAAGAAGGATCACCAAAAAAGGGAGAACTATATTGGGGACCAGAGACCAGGTTGATGTGAAAGGATAAACAACAGAAGCCTGGAGGGTAACCAGGTGATAGGGTGAATTGGTGGATGTGTTCCTGGGACCAGGTTTTTCTGGAACCTCAGCAGAAGAGTTTAGACTCCATCCTTGGAACAATGGAAAGCCCCCAAGGTCTCCTTTAAAAAAAATTTTTTTTGGTCGTTTTGAGATAGGGTCTCCCTGTAGTCCCAGCTGGGCCTGGAACTCACTATGGTAGACCAGGCTGGCCTTGATTTCACAGAAATCTGCCTGCCTCTGCCTCCTGAGTGCTGGGAGTAAAGGTGTATGCCACCACACCCAGCTAAAAATGTTTATTTTTATTTTTATGTGTTTTAGTGTATTGCCTACATGTATGTAAATGCACCCATGTCGTGCATTGTCCATGGAGGTCAGAATAGGTGTCAGATCCCCTGGAACTGGAGTCACTGATGGTTAACTGCCATGTAGGTGCTGGAAATCAAACCCAGGTCCTCTGGAAGAGCAGACAGTGCTCTTAACTGCTGAACCATCTCTCCGGTTTCCCCAAGAGCCCCTTTTGCAGGCTTGTCTGCTTTAGGCTGCAGATAGAAACCCCAGAGATTCTGAGATAACTGCGTGCAGTCTTAGATTCCTATAGACTGGTTGTGTTGAGGGAAACTGAGCAATGCCACAGTCCCAGGGCTGCACAGTCTGCAGTCTGGGTGGGGTAGGGAGCATAGTTCTGCTGGGTTTCCAGAACCAGACATACAGACGGTGGGCGGGAAGCTCAGCCTTTCTCCAGGATGGTGCTGAGCAACCCGAGTCCTGTCAGCCTCTTCAGGAGACAAGAGACTGGACTGATGCAGAGCCAGAAGAAAGCAGCTGGTGAACTTCACAGAAGCCCTAAGCTGGCTGTCTGAGGTTCTGAGCTCAGAGTTGAACCCCAACTCAAGTACTTTCTGAGGATCACAGTAAGAAAACAATGCAGGCCAGTTCTGGCTCCATCACCTCCTTCCAAGGAAATTAGATACAGAATAATGAAGGCCACGGAGCTAATCAAAGAATGAGAAAAGGCAGGCAGTCCAGGGAAGCAGGAGAGCAGCTGTTCCATACCAGGCAATAAAAAACAGAAGGAAAAGAGGGCATCTAAAGGAAGAGTGGGAGACTGACTATATAGTAAGAAATAGTTGTGAACCTACTGATACATCTTTTGAACTCTGGGATTCAGTCGGTCACCAGGCATACATGCTTAGTAACTTACCTGTGCTATGAACTACAGATACTTGCCAGGACAACTGACAGATTTACTAATACAATGACCAAAGTCCTCCCATCATCGTTCCATTGTGGGTGTTTGTATCACTGGCGGAAAATACCAGGAACGAGAGCAGGGCAAGACTTGGACTTTGAGCTCAGCTATGCCACTACCTGGCTGGGCAGCCCCCAAGCAAGTCAAATCAACGCTTCCAGTCTTAAATCCCTCTTGGCTTCTATGTCTGCGACTTGCAGGCGGATGGAGACAGAGGGGATGGGTTCCTCGGTCGGTGGGTGGGGGCTCGGGTGCTCGGACCCCGCTGACCACTGCCCGCCGTCCGCCCACCCGCAGGCGCCCTGGAGGACCTGGAGCGCGCAGTGGTGCTGAGCGGCGGCCGGGGCCGTGCCGCCCGCCAGAGCTTCGTGCAGCGCGGCCTCCTGGCACGACTGCAAGGCCGGGACGACGACGCCCGTAGGGACTTCGAGAGGGCGGCTCGGCTGGGCAGCTCGTTCGCGCGGCGCCAGCTGGTGCTGCTCAATCCGTACGCCGCGCTGTGCAACTCCATGCTGGCAGACATGATGGGGCAGCTGCGTGGACCCTGCAACGGGCGCTGAGCGCCTCCCCGGGGGACGGACAGGGGTTCCTGATACAATAAAGCAGGCGGGACTCGCCGACTGCGCCTGCAGCTGCGTCTGCCCAAGCTCGGGGTAGCCGGGTCTCCCGCTGGGATCGCGGCGCGGGCGGGGTGGAGAGGGAGGGCCGGCCACCTGCGCGTGCTCGGCCAGCGATTGGTCCAGCCTGGCGCGCTCCCCGCCCTTGCAGTGGACTGCGGTGCTCAGCAGACCTGAGCAGTTGCTGGGGCGGTGTTGCGGGAGGGAGCCAGGTGAGCCGCCCCGAGGGCAGGAGCAGGGGTGGGATGCTTCGGCGACCCCCGACTCCGCAAGGCTTTCCTGCTGGGCCCGAGAGTGCCTAAGCGGCCGGCGTCGGGAAAGGGATGCAGGGCGAGAGATGGGAGTGGGGAAGAACAGGGTAGTTAGGAGGGGCCAGGGGCGGGAGGATTTCCCCCTGGGGAAGGGCGCGCGTGCCTGTGCGTGTGTTGCAGCTGCATCCCCGAGTGCTGTCACTTACTGCCAGCGCTGGCTTCTATGTCCTCAGGATGTCCAAGTGTGCCCTGAGTGGGTCTGTCACTGGGCTTTGCTGAGTGTCCGTATCTTGCACCTGTGGGCTAGTCTACATCCGTGCACGGTGCTTTTGGTTTGTGGAAAGTAAATTCCTGCAGGAACTGCTATGCTTACCTGCTGTCACCTCACTGACACCTAGGCTGCCCCCTTCTCTCAGCAGCCTGGGGCCCAGGCTCTGACCACCATGGGGCGGCCTCTAGGCCCAGCTACCCTCCCACGCACACTGCTGCTCCTGCCAGCCCTTGTGAATTCAGGTACACCCCTGTTTATCCTTTGGCCCATCACTTCTGGAGGCCACAGCCACCTTCCCCTCCTTCCTTGCACCTTCCCTCAGGGTACCTGCTCCAGGCACCAGAGCCAGGTTCCCTTATCCCACTTCCCTATCCTAGGTCCAGCCAGGCCCTGGTGCAAGATCCTAGCTGCCCTGTCTCTAGGCTTGCTGCCCCTCTGTAACTGGACCACATCCAGGTCACAGTATAGTACCAACCCTCTCCGAACCCCTCCCAGAGTCTACCTGCTGTGTTCCAGGTTGGGGGGAATTGGCACCACAAATTGATGGTCAGACCTGGGCTGAAAGGGCACTACGGGAGAATGAGCGCCATGCCTTCACCTGTCGGGTGGCAGGGGGCTCCGGCACCCCCCAATTAGCCTGGTACCTGGATGGACAACTGCAGGAGGCCACCACCTCAAGACTGCTGAGAGTGGATGGAGAGGCCTTCTCTGGAGGTACCAGCACTTTCACTGTCACTGCTCAGCGGGCACAGCATGAGCTTAACTGCTCCCTGAAGAACCCAGGGAGTGGCCCGTCAGCCAATGCCTCTGTCATACTCAACGTGCAATGTGAGTATCCCTGAAGTGTGCAGGAAGAGACATTCCTAAACCCCCAGCAGCCATGGGCAGATGTTCAAGAGGATATTTCTTGAGTTTTTGGTGTTTTGTTTTGAAACAGTCTTATTATGTAGCTTAGGCTGGCCTCAAACTTGGAAATCTCCTGCCTCAGCCTCCCCAGTACACCACCACACCCAGCCTCAGGAGAACATTTAACAAACATTAAGCAGTTGGCAATTATAGCTCACTTTATCCTCATTGATCTGATGAGGGAATTACTATTTTTATCCCTGTTTTACAAATGAAAAAACTGAGGCATAAGGTACTCAAGCAATCTGCCCAAGGTCATAGAGATGTTAGCCAGGATCCAGATCCTATGGCTGGCTTTTTGATTTATTTTTTGAAACACAGTCTCATATATCCCAGGCTTTCTTCAGATTTACTATATAGCCAAAGATGACTTTGACGTTCTGATCTTCCTGCCTCTACCTGCTCAGTACTGAGATTACAGGCATGTACCACCATGCCTGGTTCATGTGGTATGAAGATTGAACCCAAAGCTTTGTACATGCCCTAGGCAAGCACTCTACCAACTGAGCTATATTTCCAGCGCAGGTTTTTAAATTTTAAGTCAGGGTCTTATGTAGACTGGACTGGTCTCAAAACTTAAAATCCCCCTGCCTCCTCTTGAATGCTGAGATTACAGGCATGTACCACTACACCTAGCTTATGCTCTGATGAGGTTTAAATCCAGGGCACTGTGCATGCTGGGTAAGCACTCTACCAACTAAGCCACATCCCCAGCTCCTGGCTTTCTACTTTTAATTAAATTTTTATTTTATGTGTATATTATTGTTCTGCCTGCATGTACAAAGTTCACCATGTGCACGCAATGCCTAAGGACACCAAAAGAAGATGTCAGATCCTCTGGAACTGGAGTTAAGGATGGTTGTTAGCTGTTATGTGAGTGCTGGGAACTGAACATAGGTCCTCTGCAAAAAGCAGCCAGTGTTCTTCAATGCTGAGCCATCTCTCCAGGCCCCCACCTTTCTACTCCTGCTGTGAAATGCTACTGTACCAGCAGGCCCAGCTGTCCTGTTCCTCGGTGTTCTGAGGAAAGGTCCAGCCCATTGCTCCCATCCAGGTTTGGGAAGAAAGCACCAGAGTGAGGGGCTGTGATAGCATACTGTTTTCTGCTCTGCTCTAGTTAAACCAGAAATTGCCGAGGTTGGGGCCAAGTACCAGGAAGCTCAGGGCCCAGGCCTTCTGGTTGTCCTGTTTGCCCTGGTGCGGGCCAACCCACCTGCGAATGTTACCTGGATTGACCAGGATGGGCCAGTGACTGTCAATGCCTCTGACTTCCTGGTGCTGGATGCTCAGAACTATCCCTGGCTCACTAACCACACAGTGCAGCTGCAGCTCCACAGCCTGCCGCACAACCTCTCAGTGGTGGCCACCAATGATGTAGGTGTCACCAGTGCCTCACTTCCGGCTACAGGTGAGCATCAGTAGCAACTGGCTTGGCAAAACTCAGGTGGGTGCAGAGATCTTGGAATGGAAATGGGAGGACTTGTTGCCCTGTGGGTGGATCTTGTGGATGAATGGTCCCCAGCCACCTTGGGCAAGGACAGAGTAGCTGGGCCTATGAAATGTTAGGGTTGGGGATAGTGCCCAGTTGAAACCTAATCAGTGGACAATCTGCAGGGCTCCTGGCCACCCGAGTAGAAGTGCCCCTGCTGGGCATCGTTGTGGCTGGAGGGCTTGCCCTAGGCACTCTAGTGGGGTTCAGCACCTTGGTGGCCTGCCTGGTCTGCAGGAAAGAGAAGAAGACCAAAGGTAGGGCCAGTCGCGATGGGGGCAGAGGGTGGTAGAAGACTGATGATGAAACTGGGGGATGAGCAGCAAGGGTAGCAGGCAGAGCTGGGCAGAGCCAGGCATGTCTGACATGGCAAAGCATTAAGTGTGACTGTGGGTGAAACAGCTGTGGGTGGGACAGACACTGTAAAGCTGTCTCTGGGCATTTGCGAGACTCCTGACCTGAGAGTCTTGGGTCTGAAAGGGCAGGGGCAGAGCCCAGCATGGGAAGGCACACTGATTCCATGGCATGGTATCTTTGTCCTCAGGCCCCTCCCGGCGCCCATCTCTGATATCTAGGTAATGTTTCTTGGGGTTGGGCAGATGAGCTAAATCAAAATACAGGTGGGGACAGGTGGGAACCTGGGCCTTCTGGGAGATCTCGATTGGGCCTCAAAGCAGGACCATGTGCCTGCTGGTACCAGGGCACATCTCAGTCTTTGTCCACCCCGTAGTGACTCCAACAACCTGAAACTGAATAATGTGCGTCTGCCACGGGAAAACATGTCCCTCCCGTCCAACCTTCAGCTCAACGACCTCACTCCAGATCTAAGAGGTATGTTTAGGACCCGCCCTTTGCCTGTGTTTTATCTTCAGAAGTGCTTCTGAGAAAGAGAGATCTTGGTCCTTAGGAGGAGATATGCCCCATTAGGCACAGCCCTTCCTGAGTACCGACCCGTCACCCAACAGGGAAAGCAACAGAACGGACAATGGCTCAGCACAGCAGCCACCCAGAGCTTCTGGAAGCTGAGCCTGGTGGCCTCCTCACCAGCAGAGGTACTGAGAGACCTACTGCCCTCCTGCCCTCCACTGCCTTTGTATCCCATCCCTGTTCTTGTGCCCAAGGCTCTGAGTGCTGTGAAAAGAAAGGGCTCCTCTAAACTCCAAAGAACCAGGGTTACTGAGCCCCTGGCCATCTCTGACCCACAGGCTTCATACGCCTTCCAATGCTGGGCTATATCTACCGAGTATCCAGTGTGAGCAGTGATGAGATCTGGCTCTAAGCTTGAGGGTGAGGCACAAGGGCTCCCTCGGTCCATGGACTCCATGGAGCAGCCACCCCAATGCCTCCTCCAAGCCTTCCTCTGCCTGGCCATGTTGCCACCATGAAGAGGCCATGCCACTGCCACCTGGCCCTCCTGGCTGGTCATGCAGTGTATTTCACTACACTCTGATCTGCAAGGCATGAGAATCCTTGGCAAGACTATCAGTCACAACTAGGCCCCTTGTGCTCACTTAATTTGGGGCCCTGCATGTGATGACTGAGCCCAGATGTTAAGTCTCTGGCCAGGTGTAGTCAGGTGTGGCCCCACATCCAAGTGTGGTATGGCTTGCTATATGCCCCACACTAGTATCTACAGCACCTTGTACAGTGGATAATGGGGGATGCCTAAGTAGGGGATGGAGGGACCCTGTATGTCTTGGCTGTCTCTCTTATGTATGCTATGCAGCTTTGTTCTTTCAGGGAAAACTTAGTCCCCTGGATCTGTATAGAACCAAACTGTCCTTTGCAGGAACCAGCCCCTGGCCTGGGGACCTGGCCAAGCACAAACTAGTCCTTTTTGCTTCATACCTCTGCACTTCTCTGCCCCTTTGTCCCCGCCTCTTGTACATCATAGGTGATTCACTAGACCTCCATTTCTTCACTGGGCATTACGTTCCATTAGCTGGGGCCCTCAAGGTGCCAGCACCTGGTGTTAGCACAAGGCAGGGAGGAAGGGAGGTGAGACAGCATGAAGCTATGCATCATGTAGTACAGTGTTAGCACTTCAAGAACATCCCCCAGGGGATGGAGGGGAGGGTACAGAGCCCTCTCAGCATCCTCGTTTGGCCTTCAGCAGTTCACTGTGTCTTGAGCACTCAGGATTGATGGTTTCCCTCTGCATGTCTCCCCCACCATATGACCCCATCCTTGACTGACCTCTGGATGCCCCATCCACTGGAAACTATTTGTCCTGCCCCATCTTATCCTTTAGGGAATGATCACAGTGGGCATGTAATTCAACAGTGCCAGAGGCTTTAGGGGGACATGGAGAAAGAGGGAGCCCACATAGCCCCAAAGACCTAAGAATGCTTTTAAAAAGCAACAGGAAAACAATAGAGTATAGAATATATTTTTCCCTTACTGATACCTTGTTTTATAATTTTTCTCATGTTACTGGTTAGGACAGTGTTGAGCAAACAGTAAAGTAACTTGACTGAATGAATATGTCTGTTCATTTCTTCAAATGTATTTTTTTCTTTGGTTTTGGTTCTTTGAGACAGGGTCTCATATAGCCCAAGCTAGCGTGTCTGTGCTAGGGATGGAACCCGGGGCTTGGTGCATGCTGAGCAAGTGCTCCGCTACTGAGCTATACTGCCAGCCCATAAACATTTTTCAGTCACACAGTAGAGAAAACACAGCAAGCACCTGTGTATCACCCACCAGGAGCAGTAGCTTAGTATTTGCTAATTTAATGTAGAACATAACTACCATGAGTCAAAGTTCTAGCGAAGAAGGCAGTCTGTTCCTGAGAACCTAAGGGAGCGACAGCATTCCTAACACAAGCTGAGTTAAATGCCAGCACTAACGGTAAGAGAACAGGGCGCCTGTCCTGATGCAGCTATGCAACCTGAAGCACTATATGATCACAGCTGGTTCGCATTTGTAAGAAACTGCATACGTTGGCATGTATCAGGCTGACACAGTATATAACCTTCCCCCAATCAACTGTTGCCCTACTTTGTCCTGTCAGTACTTGGCTCAATTATCCAGTTGTTCTAGCCCAGAATATCTCAGACTCATCTTTGCTTTTTCATCCCCCATGTTTATTTTCTCACCAGGTTCTGCTGGTTCTGTCCCTCCTGGCCATGTCTCACATCTCTCAGTGAGGAGGGAATACTGAAGGATCTCAACAGACAGACCTTACTGGGTTTCCATCCCCACTATCTTAGCATTAGATCACACCCTTTGGGTCCAGTCACATTTCTATACAGTTGTCTATGTGATAATCAAGCCTGTGCAATGAGATCTTCATAAAAATCCAAAAGGACAGGGCTCACTGCTTCCAAATAGACAAACAATAATCCCCCCCTATGGCTCATACTGCTGGTTTCTCCAGATTCCTAGCCTGCTAGTCAGTTCTGCCAGGAGGTGAGGAGGTGGGAAAGAGGAGACAGAACCCTAGCTCATAGTCCGTGCAGTGGTGGGCGAGGTTCTGCTATCTTCAGCACAGTGACACCTGAGCCTCTCAACATGTGGCCAAGGTGTGTTCCTAGGTACTAACACTGACTTCCATGTACTTTCAGCACCCTCCATTCTCTCAAATGCTCTAGTGCTTCCCTACACTTAAAAAAACTTAGAGGGTTGGAAAGGTGGCTTAGCGGTTAGGAGCACTGGCTGCTCTTACAGAGGAGCCAGGGTTGATTTCCAACACGGACATGGCAGTTAACAACTCTAGTTCCAGGGGATCCGACACCTTCTTCTGACCTCTGAAGGCACTACACGACACGACATGCAGGCAATACACTCACACATAGAAAATAACAAAATATTTTTTAAATTTATTTTAAATTAAAAAAAAATTTTTTTGGGTCTTTTTGAGACAGGTCTCCCTATAGCCCCAGCTGGCCTAGCACTCACTATATAGACCATGCTGGCCTTGAACTCACAGAGATCCATCTGCTCTGCCTCCTGAGTGCTGGGATTAAAGGTGTGCACCACTACATCTGTCAAAAAAAAAAAATTTTTTTTTTTGTCTTTTTGAGACAGGGTCTCCCTGTAGCCCCAGCTGTCCTGGAACTCACTATATAGACCAGGCTGGCCTCGACCTCACAAAGATCCACCTGCCTCTGCCTCCCAAGTGCTAGGATTAAAGGTGTGCGCCACCACACCCGGCCAAAAATTTATTTTTATGTGTGTGTTTTGCCTGCATGTATACAAGTGTACCCATAATGTGCAGTGTCATAGAGGCCAGAAGACAGCATCAGAGCCCCTGGAACTGGAGTTACTGACAGTTCTTAGCTGCCACATGGGTGCTGGGAACCAAATAGACCTAGTGTTGATCTCATGATCAAGAGCAGTCAGTGCTCTTAACCACTGAGTTATCTCTCCCTTGCAGAGGACACAAGTTCTGCTCCCAGCTCCCTCATGACAACTAATCATCTGCCATAACTCAGGGGATCTGATGCCATTCCCCCTTCTGACCTCTGTGGGTAGTGCACGCAGGTGGTGCACTTACTTACATGCAGGCAAAATACTCATACACATAAAAATAAATTTAAAAAATTTTACAGTTTATGTGTGTATGCATTGTGTGTGTCAGAGAACAACTTGTAGGAATCAGTTCTCTCCTTCCACCATGTGGGTCCCAGACCTAAGATGACCTAAGATTGAACTTAGGTCATCAGGCTTGGTAACAAGCTCCTTACCAGCTGACCATCTTGCCAACTCCTTCCCCACACTTTTGTAACCAATTTGTGGTGCTAAACACTGTTTGTGAAAAATACCTAGAATGGTTTCAGGCTTCCCAACTAGAGAGTAGCTGGTACTCCTCCAAAACTACTTCCTGAATCAGTGTCTACCACCACTCTCCTCAAGCTGTTCATCTAACACTGCCACAGCAAGGCTTCCTGGGGCCACAACCAAACAGGTCTGACTGAGCTAGACAGGCAGATGGCTTGGGAGGAAGGCAACGTTTACTGGACAGAGAACCCACCTCAGAAAAGTAAATTCTGGGCAATTCAGTGGACACCTGCTTGGCATCTCCTAATTCAATTATGACACTACCTAGAGACAGTTCAGCTCTCCCAGGCTAGGGACTCAAGTCCCCAGACTGCCCCACCTTTCCTATGTCAGTCTCAAGCTCCCATGTTCCTGTCTATGATTCTGAACAACCAGCCATTAAGTTGGGGTTTCCACAGCTCTCTCCTTGGGTTTGATTAATATGACTGAGCAGCTCGCAAAACTCAGAGAGACACCTTTACAAGAGTCTGATAAAGGATGTCCAAAGGATAGAGATGGGGGGCAATAGCAGGCATGATGGCTCAGCTTGTAATCCTGGTGCTTGGGAGGCAGAAGTATGAGGATCATGAGATCAACACTAGCCTGAGCTACATAGTAAGCTCCAGCCCAGCCTGGGTTATTGTTGGGGAACCCTGCTGCTAGGGTTGTAGTTCTCCATGTCCGGATAGCTCTAAGGGGCTCGATGCCATATGGAAGGACTCCCCCATTCTCAGCAGGGTGCCTCCTGCTCTTCCTGACTTACATGGAAAAGTGCTGCCAAGCACGGACTCCTGACCTTATTTGGAACATGACCTTTGGCATAGTTACCTGGAGTAAAAACCACCCCCAGGTTTTTTCTGTATGATAATTAGGCATTGCCCGGTAGTCCGAAGATAGGCTACTGCCACATGTAAATAAAGCATACTATGAGCACCTATCAGCTGAGGCATTGGCTACTGCCTCCACACTATATTTTCCCTAGTTCTCCCACTGAATAAACGGAGCTATTTCACTGAATCTAGAGCTGTTTCACTGAGTCTGGAGCTGCCTGCATCACTGAACCTGCCTCCCCAGAAGGGCTTTCTTCCATCAGTGCTCACTGGCCGTCCTGACCCCATTCGTCGCTTCTGCTCCCTTTGTCCTCATGGAGTGGTGGCCAACAACCCATGAGGAGACAGAGCGACGCCACAGGTTATACCACGAGACCCGTCTCAAATACATAGATAAGTTTAAGTTTATTTATTTAGAAAATTTGAAAAGTTGTATAAGATACACTTTCCAGAAGTTCACTTTCTGGGACCCTCTATACACTCGACTGTTTGGAAGATCTGTGAACCTTGTCCTTTGAAAGGTTTTTGGCTTTTTTTTTTGCTTTAAAGATTTATTTATATGTGTGTGTACTCATGTGCATATGAGTGTGGGTACCTGCAGAGTCCAGAGGACTCTAAGCCCCTGGAGTTGGAATTGTAGGCAGTTGGTTGTCAGCCACCTGACATGGGTGCTGAGAATCAAATCTTAGTCTTCTGGAAGAGCAGTACAAGCTCTTAACCACTGAGTCATCTCTCCAGGCCCATCCTTTGAAGTTTTTAATGGATATTCATTATAAGGTATGACTGAAGCATCGACCACTGTGCTGACATGTGATTAGACAACAAGAGTCTGATCTAATGCTGTAAGTATGGGGCAGGACCCCTTCTGAAAGGAGGGTCTTGATCTATTATCAGACAGGTAGATCAAAGGATGAAAGATTAAGCCAGGTGTGGCAGCATATGCCAGTAAACCTAACACTGGGAGGTGGAGGCAGGAAAATCAGGAATTCAAGACCAGTCTACAGTCAGTTTGAGGCCAGGCTGAGGTACATAAGACTCTGCCCCTGCCCCCACCCGCCAAAGAAAAATAAAGGAATTTAAGAGTAAATGTCCATGACTTGCCTTGGGGAAGAGAAATTCAATTTTTGTGGCCTGCCTTGGGGAGAAAAGTGTGGGTGAAGAAGGCAAGGTCAAAGTCAGAAAAAGTGAGTCTAAGAGGCAGAGACTGGCCTTCTGTGACCTGCTTTTGGGGACCCCAGCATTATCCTAGCCACTCTGGAAATCACCAGGGCAAATTGGGAAGTAATGGCCAGGGAACCATGGATAAAAACAAAATACATATTCTACCACAACCAGACAGAACATTTTATTTGTAAAATCACTTCTAGTTAACTAAAGCACATATTTTAAGCTTCCCTCCCAAACTGTGTTCCATGGGGTCTCATCCAGCTCTAATTCAGATGCCCTCAGTGGGGGGATGCACACCTCCTTGGAAAGGCAATCGGAGATGTGTAGCCCCTTAGCAGATGTGTGTCCTGCCCTTTCAGACAGGTGGCAGGACACATGCTGCCAGAGCGCAGCTGTGGAACAGGCAGCTGTTAAGCCGCCCACAAGGCCCACATCTTCATCTCAGTTGAAAGCAAAGCCCCAGAAGGCAGCTTAGATGAAAGTTAGTGTATCTGTGTCCCCAGGCTGGGAGGCAGAATTAGATGGAGGGGTGAATGCTTTCTTGCCTTCAGCAAGAGCTTTAAAATGCTACAAGAAAGGGGAGAGGGAATACTGTTTGGAATATGCTAGTTGCAATATTTTAGGAAGAACTAACCTCTTTAAAATTCCTTTACACTAAACTGGGAATGGTGGTATAGACCTGTAATCACAGCAATTGGGAGGCTGAGGCAGGAGGATCACTGTGAGTTCAAGGCTAGCATGGGCTACATAGTGAGTTCCAGAGCAGCTTGGGCTGCAGAGTGAGACCTGTCTCAGAATAAAGTAAAACAAAACAACCCTTTACTCTCCATTTTCTCCTAAGTCTGTTTCCATTGGTTCTGTCTTTGAAAAATAGCCGGTAGTGCCCATCTCCTTCAAAAACAAACCCTTGTTCTATTTCTTCCCTGTTCCTACTTATCAGCCCACTTGCTTCTCCTGTAAGAGGATCCTCACCGAGCTCCATCTGAGGCCCATCCCTCTCTTACTTCCCCACCTGCCTCCTCTGCTGCTCACTTAATCATGGGGAAGGCAATGGAGACCCCAGACAGGCACATCTCTAGTGCCAAAGTACATAATCACAGCAGGCCCAAGTCAGTGAAGTGTTGTGATCCTAACCACAGCTTCCATCAGCCTTACCTGTGAATTCTTGAATTCTGAGTAGAGGGAAAAGAGCAGGTGGAGGGACTGGATCCGACTCTTGTAGAAAGGGATGTCTAGGATGGCTGAAAAAAAGAACAACTCCCAGAAACGGAAGCAAACAAACTCTGGACTTGGGGAACAGTTCTGTTTAGGACAGCTAGTACCCTCCTAAATGGGACATGTCACTATGACTTTGGGGTTCAGTACTCAGCAAGTATCATATAAGCCCCATACCACCCTCGAGGGCTGCCAATAGCACAGCTAGCTTCAAGTGAAGGCTGTAAGTCCAAGATTAGCAGGGCTTTCTAAAGGCTACAACTCAGCTACCCAGAAGCTGCTCTGGGGAAGGAGGAAGGAAGGGCTTACCACAGATCATGTCAATGTACTCAGCCAGGCTGCAATCGAGCTCCGCCGTGGGTAGACTCACCTGGAAGGGACATAGGGTGGACCACGATCAAAGGCTCAAGAGAGCTGGTGATATAGCTCATGGATAAAGCATTTGTTTTGCAAGGCACATATGCTACATAAAGGTGGAAGTTGTCCTCTGACCTCCATAGGCACAACATAGCATGTATGCACCCACATATACACATCACATACCTATAATAGTAATAATAAAAATTTTTAAATGTTAAAGTCATAAGTTTAAAAACCAAGGAGGTGAGATCCTTTTGTCGTTCATAAGTGTGATGATTGGGTGTTCACACACATGCATGACGTGCCTCCCTCAAACCTTGTTATACACTGGCACATTACCCATCTGACGTGAAAAAAATGAAAAAATAAATAAATAAAAACCAAGGAGGTGAAAGACCTCTACAAAGAAAACTTTAAGGCACTGTAAAAATAAATTAAGACACTAGATGATACACAGACCCTTCATGCTCCCAGACTGGCAAAATTAATATTGTGAAAATGGTTACACTGATTTAACTGTAAATATAAAATGAACAGAATCTACAGATTCAATGTAATGCCCTTCAAAATTACAATGACATTTCAGGGAACTAGAAAAAATATTCCTAAAATTCACATGAAAACACAAAGACCAGATAGTCAAAGCAATCCTAAACAAGAAGAACACAGCCAGAGATACCACACTACGTTAAACTATACTACAGAGCCACATTGACAAAGACAGCATGGTACTGGCACAAAACCAGATACAGACCAATGGAATATGAAGGATGATCCAGAATAAATCCACACAGTAATGCACACCTAATTTTTGACAAAAGTATCAAAAACGTACACTAGAAAAAAAGAGTCTATTCAATAAATAGCGCTGACAAAAGTAAATACCCACTTTCAAAAGAATGAAATTAGATCCGTATTTCTTACCCTGCACAAAAAAATCAATTCAAAGTGGATCAAAGACCTTAATTTTTTTTTTTTTTTTTTTTTTTTTTTGAGACAGGGTCTCCCTGTAGCCCCAGCTTTCCTGGAACTCACTATATGTATACCATGCTGGCCTCGAACTCACAAAGATCTATGCCTGCCTCTGCCTCCCAAGTGCTGGGACCAAAGGCGTGCGCCACCACACCTGGCTAAAGACCTTAATTTAAGACTAGAAATGTGGGGGCTGGAGAGATGGCTCAACAGTTAAGAATACTGGCTGTTCTTTCAGAAGACTCAGGTTTGAATCCCAGCAGCCACATGGCAGCTAACAGCTGTCCATAACTCCAGTTCCAGGGGATGTGACAGCCTCTTCTGTCCTCCATAGGCATTGCACGACATGGGGTGGACTTACCTACACGCAGGCAATACATGCATACAAATAAAATAAAAAATAATAAATTAAAAAACAACCAACCAAACAAAAAACATTAGAAATGTGAGCCAGGTGTGGTGGCACACACCTTTAACTCCAGCACTTGGGAGGAAGAAGCAGGCATAGCTCTGTGAGTTCAAGGCCAGCCTGGTCTACATAGCGAGTTCCAGGCCAACTGGGGCTACAGGGAAGGCAAAAAAAAAAAAAAAGAAATGTGGGGCTACAGAGATGGCTCAGAGGTTAAGAGCACTGGCTGTTAGGACTTGGGTTTGGTTCCCAGCATCTACATGGCAGCTAAAGTAACTCTAGTTCTAGGGAATCCAATGTCCTCTTCTGGCCTCTGCAGATATTGCACACATGGTGCACTAATACACATGCAGGCAAGACATTCATATACATAAAATTAAAATAAATTGGGGCTGGGGCCGGGCGTGGTGGTGCACGCCTTTAATCCCAGCACTCAGGAGGCAGAGGCAGGCAGATCTCTGTGAGTTCAAGGCCAGCCTGGTCTACATAGTGAGCTCCAGAACAGCTGGGGCTACAGGGAGACCCTGTCTCAAAAAGACAAAAAAACCAAACAAACAAAGCTGGGTGTGGTGGTATGTGCCTTTAAAAAATCCCAGCACTCCAGCACTCAGGAGGCAGAGGCAGATGTATTGGTTACATGAGTGTGTTCAGTTTGCAAAATGGATCAGACTTAAGATACACATACATTTCTGATCATGTATTATAGTTCAATTAAAAGGTCAATAACAAGCCAGGCATGGTGGTGCGTGCCTTTAGTCCCAGCACCCAGGAGGCAGAGGCAGGTGGATATGAGTGAGTCCGAAGCCAGTCTAGTCTGGCCATAGAGAATCCAGGCCAGCTGTGGCTACAGGGAAACCCTATCTCAAAAAGACCAAAAAAAAAAAAAAAAAAAAAAAAAAAAGACAAAGGTCAAAATAATAATGGGGACTAAAGAGATGGTTCAGAAGTTGAGAACATATACTGCTCTTGCAGAGGACCTGAGTTCAATTCCCAGCACCCACATCACATCAGACAGCTTACAACTGCCTGTATCTCCAGCTCCAGGGATCTGATACCCTCTTCTGGCCTCCACAGGTCCCTGCACATATGTAACACTCATATAAACACATAAACACACACATATGCACATAAACAAAAATAATAAAAATAAATCTTTTTTTTTTTTTTTTCTTTTTGGTCTTTTTGAGACAGGGTCTCCTTGTAGCCCCAGCTGTCCTGGCACTCACTATGTAGACCAGGCTGGCCTCGAACTCACAAAGACCCACCTGCCTCTGCCTCCCAAGTGCTGGGATTAAAGACGTGTGCCACCATGCCCGGCTTCAAACTCTTTTTTTAAAAAAAAGGAGAGGGGCTGGATAGATGGCTCAAAGGTTAAGAGCACTGACTGCTCTTGCAGGGGACCCAGGTACGATTCCCGGCACCCACATGGCAGCTACGAACCGTCCTTAACTCCAGTTCCAGGGGAATCCGAAGCCCTCTTCTGACCTCCATGGCACTGCACGACACGGGTGCACTCACATACATGCAGGCAATACACTCATACACATAAAAATAATATTTTTTTTAAAAAGAGAGAAAATACTGACTGTAGGGTGCATGCCACACTTTCTACACCTACTCCTTTTCCACTCACCTTGCCCAGAAGCTCTTCAAACTCTGGGGACCACTCCTGCATCAGTGTGTCAATGTCGGGCATGGGCCTGAAAGTGAAGAAGTAAATAAGAAGAGTCACAGTCCAATGACGTCAGCCACCTCTAGATCAGGTCCTCAGTCGGGCATACCAGGGTTTCAGGAGAACCTGTACTGGTAAACCAGACTTACCAGGGCCTGGGTTTGGAGCAGCTGGCTAAGTAATGATAGCAGAGAACGCTCAGCCTTTATGTCTGCAGTGTGTGCAAGTGGCTGCCAGCTTTTCAGTTCTCAGAGTCACGTACAATGTAAATGTACTTTTAAAAAATATTTTTTTTATTATTTTTATGTGGATGTGTGTATTGCCTGTGTGTAGGTAAGTGCACGCATGTCGTGTAATGCCCGCTGAGGACAGAAGAGGCTGTCAGAGCCCCTGGAACTGGAGTTACGGACAGTTGTTAGCCGCCATGTGGGTGCTGGGATTCAAACTCAGGTCTTCTGTAAGAACAACAAGTGTTCTTAACCACTGAGCCATCTCTCCAGCCCCCCTCCCCAAATGTACTTTTTTTAAAGGACCTCAGGTTGATCAAATTTGTCCCCATGGCTGGGCATGGTGACACATGCCTTTGATCCCAGCACTAGGGAGGTAGAGGCAGGCAGATCTCTGTGAGTTTGAGGCCAGTCTGGTCTACATAGTGAGTTCCAGGCCAGCTGGGGCTACAGGAAGACCCTTTCTCAAAAAAGACCAAAAAAAAAAATGCCCCCAGATTTTGGGTCTCTCCCCAAGAACAAAGGGTCATAATGGCAAAGTTACTATGCACTGCTGTGGTGAAAAATATTGGATCTCTGCCAGGTATCACGGACAGCACAATCCTCATCTCAGGAGGCAGAGGCAGGATGATCATGAGTTTGAGGTCAGCCTAGGCTACAGAGGGAGAACCCATGTTTATCCTTACCTGGTATAGTGCACAGTTGCAGGGGGCTTAGAACGGTGTAACTCAGAGATGCTCTCAATCCAGGTGTCAATAGCTTTGGGATTCTTTTCTGCATCTTCCAGGCTCTTTACTTTCATGTGTTGCTAGAAAAATGAGAAGGATGATATAGGTACGTTACAATGAAGTCCATTATTTTGTACAATAACTTTTAAAAATTAATTGAAAAAGTGCTATTAGCTAAAGCACAGTGATGTACACTTGCAATCCCAGCACTTGAAAGGTGGAGGCAGGAGGATCAGAGATCAAGGCCAGTCTTGGCTATATGGTAAATTCTAGACCAGCCTGAACTATGAGACCTTGTCTTTAAAAATGAAAGTGCTGCCAGGTGTGCTGCTACATACCTTTAATTCCAGCACTCAGGCAATAGAGCAGGTAGATTTCTGTCAGATCAAGGCCAGCCTGGTCTACATAGTAAGGTCTAGGCCAGCTGAGGCTACATGGAGACGCTGTCTCAAAAAAAAAAAACAAAGACAAAAACAGAAGTGTTGTAAAAAAGGAGAAAGTTGGGCTGGAGACTGCTCAGCAGTTAAGAGTACTTGTTGCTCTTCTAGAGGACCTAAGTTTGGTTCCCAGCATCCACGTTAGGCAGCTCACAACAGCCTACAACCAACTCCAGCTCTAAGGAATCAAAGATGCCTTCTTCTGGCCTCCAATGACACCAGCACACATGTGGCCATCATTCACACAGACACACACAAATACAAATAATAAAAATTAATCAGGATGGGCATGGTGGCATACACCTTTAATCCCAGCACTCAGGAGGCAGAGGCAAGCAGATCTTGGTGAGTTCAAGGCAAGCCTGGTCTACATACAAAATAAGTTCCAGGCCAGCTGGGGCTATAGGCAGACCCTGTCTCAAAAAGACCAACATAAAAATAAATAAATAAATAAAAGGAGAAAGCTGGCTGGCATTGCTGAAGGAGTTCTTGTGTCCATGACAGAGCGTGGCTACTGTACTATACATAAGGTACAGCTGATGAAAAGGGAAGCCTGAGAGCAGCCAATGAAGATTACAGGAAACTGTTGGTTGAATCATAACTTATGAGTGTCCCCAAAGGGCTATGTGGTAATGGTGTGCTCTCTAGAACAGTGCTTCTGGGAGGTGATGGAACACTGAAGAGGTACTCCCCACTAAAATGAGGAAGGTCAGCTGTAAGGTAATTAGGTCATAGAGACGTATCCCTGCTCCTGAGGTGATCCACTTTGCTCAACAATGCTCTTCTACCATGCTGTCCTGCCTCATAACAGGCCAAAGAAACCAGGGCCAATGGATCATGAGGTAAACTCTCCAACACTATGAGCCACAGTATTTTTCTTTTTGTTATTTTTAATTTTTTCTTTATTTTTATGTGTATAGTGTTTTGTCTGCATGTATGTAAGTGTACTTGTACATGCAGTGCTCACGGAAGTCAGAAAAGAGAATCAGATCCCCTGGAACTGGAGTTTCAGATAATTGTTATCTGCCATGTGGGTGCTGAGAACTGAATCTCGGTCCTCTGCAAGAGCAGTCAGTGCTCTTAACTGCTAGACCATCTCTACAGCCCCAGTACATCTTATTATGTTGATTATCTCTGGTATTTGTTACCGTGATGGACTGCTAACAGAAATTCTAACCAAATTTGCTGGAGTTTCCAGGCATGGTGGTACATGCCTACAACCTCAGCACTTAGGAGATAAATGCAAGATCAGCTTGGGCTACAAGACCAAATCTCAGAAGAAAAAAAAAAATTGCTGGAGCCATAGGAAAAAGACAGGGAAATAGGGACTGACACAGTGCCATTTCACACCCACTAAAGTGGCTAGAATTAAAAAGGACGATCACAAGTGTTAGTGAGGATTTAGAGAAATTAAAACTCATTCACAGCAGCACTATACAATAGTGCTACCACTTCAGAAAACATTTTGACAGCTCTTCAAAATGTTGACCAGAGTTACTAAATGACCACGGAATCCTCTTCCTACTCACGTACCCAGCAGAAACAACAACACATGCCCATACAAAAACTTATACTTGAATGTTCATAGCTCTTGTATTAACAAGAGTAGGAATGACTAATGGATTAATAAATGCACTGGAAGATGTTTCAGCCATAAAGAGGAATTAAATGGTTACTAGAGTCTAGGAGAACAGGTACAGGACTTCTTTTTCGAGTGCTGATAAAATTTCTTTTTAAATTTTATGTATATTAGTGTTTTGCCTGTATGCATTTAAGGTCACCCATCATGCAATGTCCAGGAGGTCAAAAGAGGGGATCAGATCCCCCAGAACTGGAGTTACGGACAGTTGTTAGCCACCATGTGTGTGCTGGGAACCAAGCCCAGGTCCTCTGCAAGAGCAGCCAGTGTTCTTAACCACTGAGCCATCTCTCCAGCCCCAAGTGCTGAAAAATGTTTAAGTTAGATAGTGAAGAAGGACTGGGGTACAGCTCAGAGCTAGTGCACCTGTCTAGCATGTGTAAAATAATGGGTTAGATCCCTACTAACATAAAAAAAAATGGATAGTGGTGAATATGTGTACAGCTCCATGAATGCACTAAAAATTAGTGAACTGTCCAAGTTAAAAGGGTAAATATTATAGTACATAAATTATATCTCAATAAAGTTGTCACTAAAAACTTGGGCTGGTCTGAAGCCACACCCATCCCTTTTGCTACAGTCATCAATGGTATACAAATGCAGTGAAGCCTCTGATCTTGGCCCACTCTTTACAGCTGGGCCTGGCTCTAGATCAGTAACTTACTGTTACGTTATGCTGCTTCGAATTTTCTGTTAACCAGAGTGAAAGCACTGTAGGGTCCGACTGCTTTGTTGACGGTTCATCCAATACCAGTAGGCCAAGGTGGTCAGGCTTTCCATCAGGACGTGGCACCTATTTAAGAAAAAAGTATGAACACTGAAAAGAAATTGAAGGGTCATAAAAAAGCTATAGCTTACTTCTAATAAGCTACTGGAATTATTTCCAATATTATGTCTAATATTAAAAAGCACGTGTCTTTATTACACTAGACTAAATACTGTCCAGAAAGAATCTATATGATGTATGGGAGTATTAACACAGGGCTGAATTCATGGTTAATTAGGAGACAAGTATACAATATATCACATAACCACAATGAATAAAATCTGAAGAGAGCAATATTTAGAACTCTAATGAAATGTAGACTGTTTAGTGTGGTGGTGCACACCTTTAGTCCCAGCACTCAGGAGGCAGAGGCAGGTAGATCTCTGTGAGTTCAAGCCTGGTCTACATAGTGAGTTCCAGGTCAGCTGGGGCTACAGGGAGAGCTTGTCTCAAGAAAGAAATGTAGACTGTTTATTAAGGGAGCCAATGCTAATCAAAGAAATTAGAGGTGGGATTGCAGTTAAGAGCACTGGCTGTTCTTGCAAAGAACCCAGGTTCAATTCCCAGCACCCAACCATCCATAACTCCAATTCCAGGGGAATTCAGCACCTTCTTTTGACCTCCAAGGGCACTGCACAACACGGGTGCACTTAACATACATGCAGACAATACACTCATACACGTAAAATAAAAATATTTCTTTTAAAAAAAGAAGAAATTAGAGGAACTGTTAGAATAGAGAGTTAGAACAAATATGGGAGGAATCATTTTTTAGGATCCACTGTCCGTACCTTTAAGAATGCATCAATATCCCCAACAGCTGGGATAAAATCAGGAATGAAAGGTTTCAGTTTGTGATCTAGATCAATCAACTGCGGTGTGTACCTACAAGATATAGCCAAAGGAAGGTGGAAGTAGTCAGAAAAAGTTCCTTTACTATTCAAGCTAAAAACATCTGAGCTTAGTGTTCCAGCAGACTAGAGGGGACTAGAGAGGGCAAGCCTGGGTAAGGCAGGCACGGTGGGGTACAGAGGGAGGCTCCAATGCTCACCGGCTGATGTACTCGAAGAGCTCCTTGATCTCAGCTGAGACGGGCAGATGCTCATAGTCTGCAGGATCATAGGCCCTGGAAAAGGAAGTACAGGCAGTTCAAGTGGCTCCAAAGGAACACAGGTGACAGGGCCCTGGCCAGTCCATGTGTGATTTGGACCACAGGGATGTGACCTGAATCTAGCTTCTCCCCATTCACATTTGACTTTCCTGGTGGCTTACAAGGCAACTTTAATATTGATTATAGTTTCCTCTCAATTATCTTTGTCACTGAAGAAAAAAGCTGAGAAAATCCATGACTTTTTAAAAAATATTATTTATTTGTATTTTATGTATATGTGTGTATTGCCTGCATGTAGATAAGTGCACCCATGCCATGCAGTGCCCTCAGAGGACAGAAGAGGCTGTTGTATCCCCTGGAACTGGAGTTACGGACAGTTAGCTGCCATATGGGTGCTGGGATTCGAACCTGGGTCTTCTGAAAGAACAGTGTTCTTAACCACTGAGCCATCGCTCCAGCCCTCACAACATTTTTTAAAATTTGTGCATGTGTTGAATGTATGTGCATATATGTATGTGTGCAACTGAGTGTGCATATAGAGGCCAGAGAAGGACATCAAGTATCCTGCTCTATCACACTCCACTTTATTCCCCTGAGACAGACGCTCACGGAATCTGGAGCTAGGCTAGTGCCAGCAAGTCCCAGCAATCCTTCTGTCTCTGCCTCTCAACAACACTGAGGTTATGCCAGCCCGGGCAACAAAAACAAAACATATAACACTAATTATAATTAAATAAAATAGACAGCAAAGTATATTGTGTTTAAAGGCCTGCAATAAAGCTCTTCTGGAGGATCTTAACAAAAAAATTTTAATTTCTATTTCCCTAGAATATAGTTTACAGAAATAAGGATATAATCATGAAGCAAACTGAAGTGTCATGGTTGGCTTCCATTGTCTACTTGATAAAACCTGGGAAGAGGGAAACTTAACTGAGTAACAGTCTATAGGACTGGCCTTGTGGGCATTTCTGTGGGGTATTTTCTTGATTGCTGAGTGATGAAGGTGGGCCTAGCCCACTGTTAGTGGTGCCACTCCTGTGCAGGTGCTCCTGAGTTGTATAAGAAAGCAGGCTAAGTGAAGGCCAGGGGAGCAAGCCAGTAAGCAGTGTTCCTCTGAGGTCTGTTTCAAAGTTCCCACCTCTAGGCTTGTGCCCTGCCTAAGTTCCTGCCTTGGCTTCCCTCAGTGATGGACTTCAACTTGGAAGAATAAATTAGTCATGGTGTTTTATCACAGCAATAGAAAAGTAACTAGAAAAGAAGGTGGGGCCAGGAGTAGGGTACTGCTGTGAAAGACCTGACCATGTTATTTTTAGGAAGATCGTAGAGATGTTGGGAATTTGGGGATAGGAAAGTCATTGAGTGCTCAGGGCTTACTGAGCTGTTGCTCTGTGAACTGTTGCTCTGGAGATTGGAGCAGTTATGCTAACAGAAATGTGGACAATGGAGAGCTGGCTTGTGACATTTCAAACAGAAGTTTGAGAATCCTTATCAAGGCCATTTGTGTGATATTTTGAATTGAGAATTGTTGATTTCTGGTCAGTTGAGGCTGAATAATCAGCTGTGGTTAACAAGAAACCAGAACCATAAAAGTGAAACTAGGACAACTGATACTGGTCAGCTGGGGCTGAAAAACCAGCTGCAATTAAAAAGAGACCAGCATCAGGGGGCTGGAGAGATGGCTCAGTGGTTAAGAACACTGGTGGTTCTTGCAGAAGAGCTGGGTTCAAATCCCAGGATGACCTTGAACTTCTGATCCTCCTGCCTCTACATGGCAGCTAACAACTGTCTGTAACTCCAGTCCCAGGGGATCTGATGGCCTCTTCTGACCTCTGCAGGCATTGCATGACATGGGTGCACTTACCTACATGCAGGCAATACACACATACACATACACATAAAATTAAAAAATAAAACATAAAAAGAATATATGCAGTTTTATCATTTATTAAAAGGAAAGCAAATTAACCTACTAATTAAGATGGATGTGCTTATTTACTTTACATAAAGAATGAAGCTTTGATCTCTGGGAGACTGAGGCAACCCTGATCCACATCATGATTTCCAGGCAGGCTGGGATTAGGGAAACCCTGTCAAAAACCAAACAACAACAAATAAAAAATAAAATAAATAAATAAAATAAAATAAAATAAAATAAAATAAAATAAAATAAAATAAAATGAGACCAGCACCATGGAGGTGAAATCTTCTGGAAAGAATTTCCTCAGGGTCAACACACAGAAGCTGACCACTACCGTGGTGAAGGCTGCATCTCAAACTGGCAGCCAAACTTGGTAATGTGTAAGGGAATCCTCATATGGTTTTGAAGGCAGCAACAGGTGTGAAGAGGAGCTAGCCTGAGCCAAGACAAACTATAGGTGCTGCAGGTGGCAGAGACAGAGAAGTGGAGCTTCCCAAGACTTCTGGAGCCCAGCAGATCATGAGTGAATCCCAGTACTTGGATTCTGTGTTACATTGCTAGACTTTGGTTTTGCTTAAGTGTGCTCAGTTATTCCCTTTAAAAATATTTTTATAATGTTATTTTCTGTATATGAGAGTTTTGCATGCATGTATGCAAGTACACCATGTGCATGCAATGCCTTCAGAGGCCAGAAGAGGATGTCAGATCTCCCCAGAACTGGAGTAAAGGACCTGGTTGTTAGTCACCATGTGAATGCTGGGAACCAAACCTGAGTTCTCTGTAAAAGCAGCCAGTGCTCTTAACCTCTGAATGTATCTCCTATCTGGTTATTCCCTTTTGAAATAATAATTTATTTTTATTTTACAGGAGTCCAGAGGTGAGACTTTAGATTTTTAAAGAGACACTGAACTTTTGTTTATTGTTTTTTTAAAAAATAGGTTCTATCTATCTGTCCATCCATTTATCTATCCATCCATCTATTTTTGGTCTTTTTGAGACAGGGTCTCCCTGTAGCCCCAGCTGACCTAGAACTCACTCTGTAGACCAGGCTAGCTTTGAACTCAGTTCCACCTGCCTCTGCCTCCTGAGTGCGGAGATTAAAGGTGTGTGCTACCATGTACACACCTTGGTTTGGTTTTTAAAGTATCTTATTTATTATTTTTATTTTATGTGTATGAGTGTATTGCCTGCATGTATGTAAGTGCACCTGTGTCATGCAATGACCATGGAGGTCAGAAGAAGGCGTCAGATCCCCTAGAACAGATGGTTGTTACAGATGGTTGTCAGCCACAATATAGGTTCTGGGAATCAAACCAGGTCCTCTGCAAAAGCAGTCAGTGCTCTTAACCACTAAGCCATC